GTGGGGAGAGAGAATGGGGGGCACAGTGTGCGGAGAGGGACTGGGGGTGAGGGAGAGAAACAGCGAGCGGAGAGAGGGACACGTGACGGAGCATAGGGAGTGCGGACGGAACGGGCACGGAAGAAGAAGTAGGGAAATAGAGAGAGAGAGAGAAGGGAAAGGGAATAGGAATAGGGAAAGGGAGTGGGGAGAGGGAATGGAGGCACAGTGTGCGGGGAGGGCGTGGGGATGCTGGGAGAGGGAGTGGGGGCGGAGCGCGGACGGAGTGGGCAGGGGGAGGGAAGGTGAATGCGGAGCGTGGGTGGGGACTGGGAGTGGTCATCGTCGGAGTCGCAGGCATCGTCGGAGCCTTGGTCGTCGGCGTCGTCGTTGTCATCGGAGCCGTCGTCCGAGTCTTCGTCGTCGTCGTCGCAGCCGTCCGCATCGAAACTATCGTCGGAGTCGTGGCCCTCGTCTGCCTCGACCGAATCGCCGCTGTCGTCGAGGCCATGAGCGTCGTCAGAGTCTTCCTCGGAGCCGTGGTCGGTCGGAGTCGTCGTCGGATTTATCGGCGTTGCCGTCAGAGTCGTCGGAATCGTCGTCGGAGTCGTCGCCGTCGTCGCAATATGGAGGGGGATGAGTGGAGGGAGAGGTGAAAGGAAGTGGAAGGGGTGATGGGCGGAAGAAGCGCCCGTCTGGAGCGCCAACGTAGGCAGACAGTGTGCGGCCAGAGGCGAAGCAACGGAGTTGGACTCCACACCACTCCCGCGTCCAATCCGCCGGAATCACGTACAGTCGGGGTGTTGACTTGAGGAGCGATGAATAAGGAGCGAAGCCCCTTTGTTTCCCCAGGGGGCTCGCCACCAAAAAAGGTGCGGAACGCACGCAAACCTAAGGAACGGCCGAGCCCCTTTTCCGAAAAGTAAGTGGACCTTACTCAACGCCCCGACTGTATGGCAGGTTCGTGTCACGAGGACTTGGTGGAAGTCGGTTTCGCACACCGCGTGGAGCGTTCAATATCGAATGATCTCGGCACCTAGAGGTATCTAGAGGCGGCCGAATCTACAACCATGATTTCGCACCGTGGGTTCGTGTCTCTGGGTCCTTCGGCCCGAAACGGTCCCCCTGGGGAAGCTTAACCTTGAACGCCCGCGCCGAGGTCGCCGCCGCGCCGACGCGACGCGAGACGGAAAGAATGACGTTGGGAGGGATCGGAACATATCGGAACGGGCATTGGAAAGGAGGAGGATGGGGGAGGAGAGCGGGAGGTCGACAGGAGGTTAACGGGGAAGTGAGAGGAGATGCAGGGGACGAGGCAGAGGAGTTGGAGGGGGAGGCCAAAGGAGGGTGAAACAGAGAAGCGAAAGGGATGGAGTCGGGAGGAGCACACGTGATCATGCGAACGTCGAATGAGCAACGATTCGACAATATGGCGGACAGTCTGCGGCCACTAACAACAACGAGATTGGACTGCAGATTCTGGCGTCCTGTGTGCAGCGCGCCGGGGTTAGCTCCGTGTCGAGACGGCAAGGACGCTGCCTTCTGACACCGCGTGGATCGGTCAATTTTGAAAGATCTCTGCTCGTGGAAGTACTTGGAGGCTCCGGACCCGATCTTGAAAAGTGATTTCGCGCCGCGGGTTCGTGTCTCTGGGTCCTGGGGCCCGAAATGCCCCCGAGGCGCGTTCAGCCTTGAACGCCCACGCTGGGGTCATCGCCGCGTCGATGCGCACTTCCTCCTGCTCCCCCATATCCCTCATGAAGAGGGGGCGGGTCAGAAGAAACATAAGCGCGCAACGACCAGAAAAGACTGCGGACAAGCTCGGTGCGCTCGCGTCATACCGAACGTTTTGCACCTCCCTTACATGTTTTACAATTGCGTAGAGCCCTGCTGTGTTCGCACATGCAGATGTCGAAAGAACCAGTTATCTCGAATCACACGCGATGTATATGAGACCATGGCGTAACATGGCGCTTAAGATAATCGCAAACCATTGCATCATTTGCATGTTGTAGAATTGCGCAAGCAAGCACTGCATATCATAGCATAGCAGCGCAAGAAATAACATCGCATCGCGGGGAACAAACCGAGCATCGCAGTGCATGCCAAGGCACGTCGTGGCATTGGGACCGAGGCGCGCGGAGGCACCACGAGACACCGATAGGACCACGAGACACCACGAGCCGACATGAAACACCACGAGGCACCACACCACATGACATCAGGCCTACCACACACCGCACCACACCACACACACACACCACGCCACACCACGCACGCACCACACGCGCGGAGACACCACGAACCACCACGAGGACCACGAGACACCACGAGACACCGACACACCACTGGACACCACGAGACAATACGAAACATCACACCACACCACACACACCACCATCGGAATCCCTGTAAGTCGATTCTCCAGGGAGATCCCAGGATCACCCCCAGAATCCCTGGAAAACGTTTCCCAGGGCCCTCCAGGGAGATCCCAGGATCACCCCCAGAATCCCTGGGAATC